AACGTACTAATTTAACGGTTTTATAACTTAATTTTTATTTTTACTCCAGCTTTCTTTCTTAAAGAATCATTTTCATTTATGAAATAAAACAAATAATATTTATAGTAAATATGAGTAATAAATGATTATCTTAAGATTCAATGAAAAAGTATCGATCTACGTGTATGTCATATTTGAATTTTATTCTTATGATTGCTGTTACAAATAAAAATCTTATCAATGTATTAACATACTATTTTCTTCTAGATTTTTGAATAAATATTTTCGTACAAAAAATTTTGTATTTTGTCTTTAAAGAAAATCTCATCATCAAGTATCTATAAACATGTATATTTAATATTTCTATTCATAATCCATATATATATCTCATCATCAAAACCATGAAGCAAAAGCTCTCACGAAAAAATAGAAAAACAATAGAAAAAATAGACGATCATAACGGCGATCAACCTGATGAATTAATTATAATTATAACACAAACAAATTCTTTATCTATGTCGAATTCTATGAATGATCCAGATTCAAATGCATCAGTATTGAACAATATTAATTCAAATGGAACCAATACGGATATTTCAACTGTAACATCAACACCATTATCACAACAGAATATTGGTGGTCGAAAATTGACTTCTAGAGTCTGGCTATATGCGAAGAAATCAGATGATGGTCAAGAAGCTGCTTGTTTGCTATGTGATTATACATGTTCATGTCGATCACATTCTACATCAACAATTCGACAACACCTTATTATTAAACACAACAAATTAGATTTGATATTAAAATCATCATCAGTTCTTGCAAAATTTAAAATTTCAGAAGGTTTAAAAAATGAACTGCATCAACTATGTTATTATGCAATTATTAAAGATGGTCGTCCATTCAACGACCTGAATAAGATTGGTATTACAGCTTTGATAAATAAACTTTGTCCTGGTAAGATCTTTTTTAAACATAAAATATTTCTTTGATTCTTTTGAGAAGAGTTCTATTTTTTCGGAGTTGTTCTGTTATTCTAGCCTTTTTTTGTCGAAAAAAACCATGTTATTGAATTACCATGACTTAGGTTTTCACTGAGTAGACGAACAGGTGACTAGACTCCGACGGAAAGTTCAAAATAATTTTCTAGGACCGGTAAAAAAAGTATGTATTATTTCATCATTTTTAATGTTAATACATTATTCAAAGAGGCATCGTATGGAAAAATATTTTCACTTTAAGATTATTAATATAGAAAAACATAATGATACTTCATATACAAAAATGTTTTAAATATTAAGGTTTCATCTTTTTTATTCTGATTTTCAAACCGTTCTTTTGTAATTAATAAAATTTTGATCCGAAGTTCATTTTTAGCCCCATGAACGATCTTAAAAAAAGAAATATTGTTCTGTGATACATATCTATTAGCATTAAAGATGATAAATAGTCTATTTTTTTGATCAGTTTTAGAAAATTATTTTGAATTTGATGTTCGGATCTATAAATGCTCTTCAGTAAATGATTATTGAAGTATAGTATAACTAGACTCTTTTTTTTCAAAATAACTGAATCTAACTTGCCGGGATATTTCTCTCAAAATAAATTCAGCGCTTATTCGAATTTATGGTTTAGCATAAAATAAAAAAGTCAACATTCCAAGAAAACTCTCATGCTCATGAATGATATGTAATGAATGCTTCGAAAATGTTTATCCATAAATATCAATACTTGATCTTTTGTGTAGGGATTCGACATTTATACAATGTCTTTTGTTAAGTTTTCTGACAAACTAGTTAGTTTGCGGCGTACAAAAGGTCACATCTCGAATAAACATATTCAGAAGATAGCACGAGGTTCTATCTTTCCTAAATGACATAACTTTTATTTGACAACTAGTTGTAAAGAAAGAGCGCAATCTTCTACTTAAAAAAATATGCTTTTCTAATATTAACAGGAAAGTCTTTTTTTCAGTCCTTCTCTATTTTTTCATTCTGGTCGAAAAATCCTAAAATTCTCGAATGAGCTTGACTATAGCTTGTATCTTTTGTTAAAAAGACTATCAGGATGCAAGATAGAGGCGTCTCTTTTTACATGAAGCTTTGTCATTATCAAATGAGAATGTTACTTTAATTATGGACTAACTTTTCCAATAAGTAAAAATATATCAAGTCTTTTTTTTCTTAAGGACTAAACCTTGAAAATTGCTTGTTTTATGGCGATATGCTCTTTCAAAGAAAATATGAATCAAATAGAATGAAGAGTGATAAACATTTCGATCTGTCATACAAGCAGTTTTCAGTTCTTGTCGTTGACATTTTTCAAATATACTATGTCAACGATTTGCATTGATGCACGTACCCTACAGGTATACGAGTATGGATTTGTATATATATGTACATAGTTGGTAGCATCTTACCTAATAAAATATTTTTCATGTTGTCTTCAACTAATTATTATCTCACTTTGTTGTATATGCTCAGATATGAAACACTAGTGGTTAAGAAATATACTTGAGTGGCAGAATAACAACTTTGAAGAAAAAGTTTGGAATTTTTTTATTGTCTTTAGATATCATGAGCGAGCAGCACTCTGATATTGCTGTCACTAGATGTTTTCAAATAAAAAGTATCGAAATCAGCCTTGTCATCGATTAAGAAGGCCTGAAACGATTCTAACCTAAGATGCTTCCTGACTGATATACTCATCTTACATGTTTCAAATATTCGATCTTTTCTGTCATAATGTATATTTGTATATTGCATAGGGCTAGAACTTTGCCAGCCTATCTATAACACAGTGTACTCATATTGAAAGTTTCATTCAATTTAAATGCAACTGATTCAGAGTAGATCTATGAAGAATGGGTACCCTAACCAATTTTGCATTCAAAACTTTTGATAATACTATATTTCCTGATATTATTGCACAAATCGCAATATATTGATTCAGCATTAGTCGTTGTTAACTGTTAATAAATATGTATTTCCTTAGACGTCTAAACTAATCGGGCACTCTATGTCGAAAAAACAGATGTCAATACTTTGCTATTATTATTGATTAAAAAATTGTATTATTATCTATTTTATTATGTGATAATTTTTTTTTAGGTTATAAACCACCACATAGAAATCAAGTTGTTCGGCATTTAAAAGATTTAAACAAACATCATCATGATCTATTGAAAGAAGAATTAAAAACAGTTTATCGATTGAGCATTACACTCGATTTCTGGTCAAACCGAAAAAATGAATCATTTCTATGTATTACAGGTCATTGGATGAATAATTCTCTTGATTCTATTTCGAAAATCATTGATTTTTCTTGCTTCAATGAACGACATACAGCTATTGAAATTACCAAGGTTTTGAGAGAAAAAATGATTGATTTAGGTGTTTATGACAAAGTTTTTTGTATTACTTGTGATGGTGCTGAAAATTTGGTTTAGCTTGCGAGTTGTTAAATGAAGATATTTTTAGAATTTGGTGCTATGCTCATAGGCTTCACTTGGTGGTTATTAATGCTTTAGGATTTTGGATGTCTAACAAAAAGAAAAATACTGATGAACCTGGTTATTCATCGGCAAATATTTTGACATTCAATACTACAACATCTAATGTTACTGATCTAGAAATTGAACAAGAAAACATGGATGTAGAATGGGATCTTGAATTAAATGATGGTAAGGTTTTTTCAATGCATATATACGAGTATATATACACATATATTAGTGGTAAGCACATGACTACTTTTTTGTCCTGTCCTGTGCTCATATCTAATATACATTTAATAACAGTGCTTTGCACTGTTACAAATAATAATCGATCTTCTCTTCTCCTATATATCTCTGAAAGGATTTATTTAATTCATTATCCTATATTTTTTCAGATTCATGGAACATTAATGATGTTGATTTAATTGATGAAACAGATGCGTATGATACTAGTAATGCTACAGCCAATACTGAATTTAGTGAAACAACAGATTTCTATGATGATGAAATTATTAATGAACAAGATATTGTTGAATTGATGAATGATAGCTGGTCAAATGTTATTAAAGATCTTGTCAATTTAACACAACCACAAAAATTAATTCTACAAGTATTAAAAAAATGTCGTGCTATTGCAAAAATTTTGAAGAAATCTTCATTGATATCACGTTTTGTTCGTAAAGAACAAGATTCAACGAAATCAAAAAAAAATATTAGTAATGATTGTCCATCAAGATGGAATTCAACGTTCAATTTAATAGATGCTATTATTGACCTGAAACACGTAATTATCAAATTGTTTACTGATAAGTGGTCATTGAATTTACGAAAAGACCAAGTATCTAAGTTAGCAAAAATCGAATTAACAAGTGAAAATTGGGATTTATTATCAGCATTACATTTTGTTTTAAGACCATTTTTTCTTGCAACTAAAATGATGTCTGGAAAAGAATATGCTACAATTGGCTTATCGTATTATGCTATACATGAAATTAAATGCTTTTGTGCTAAGGAGGATAAATGTTCTGAACAAAGTAAAACTTTTAAAAGATTATTAGCCGACAAATTGACCAAGTACTTTTATTCTAATTCTGAACAAATTCATCATTTGCAAGTAAGTAGTAAACTACAATTTTATGCCTATCCAATAGTATAAAGATTTTAACTAGTACAGCTTTTTAATATCAGCAAGTTATCACTAACGTTTCAACTGTACTTGATTCTCATTAATTCGAACTTTAAAAGTAGAACTAATTCTAATGAGTCTTTCTAAAATTAACTTGTTGTAAATTCTAAATATCAATTGAGTCCATTTAGTAGTGTTGATTGGATATTCTAAGAATAAATTATAGTTATGAATAGAAGCAGTATGTCAGGGGAAACGGAGCTCTGTTATTAAATATTCTAAAACGCTTCAAATTAACTGATTTGATTTTGAACTTTGTTAGCATAGAATCAAGTAGTAAAGTTTGATTCGAATTGGATCAAATCATGAAAAAAGTAAATCTGATGGGGTTGGCTCAAAAAATGACGCATTTCAGACACTATGAAGTAGGAACTGATAGGAATAAGAATATTTCAAAATACGGAGATTTAGATAACTTTTTTGAACAGGAAATTTTAGAATAGAGTACAGAAACTATCGAAACTAGATTGTACCGATCATATTTAAGATTGTTTCTATTCCATTGAACAATTAGAATATGACTCATTGAATTCTTTAAAATATAACATTTGATTTATCTTTTAGTATGATTTAACCAAGACATCTTAGTTAAATTGAGTAATGCATAAAACATAAAACAACATATACTCCTATATCTTTAAAATTATTCACTTATAGGCAAGTAAACACATCTCGCAGCTGCGGTCACAGAGTGAGGCTAAGAATTGACCAGAGATTTTTGTGTTCGAATTAAATTGTTGATAGATAGACGCACTTATTTAAATGAGATTGGGAATTAGTTAATTTTTATAATGCTGAAACCTCGTCTTGGAATTTTTTCTAAAAGGTTGTATCTTTAATCATACTATAGCTTGAATATTTCAGGTTGACTAAACCAAAAGAGCTAAAGTTTATTAAAGAAGCATATATCCATGTATATTGAGAACAAGATGGCTTCCATTTGAATTGTTTGAGTTCTTGCCCCTATGAATTTATTTTATAAAAATCATATTTGGTGAAGTTCATGTGAACGGCCGCAAAGATATAATGCTATGTGTCTGTAAAAAGCTGGCTAAAAGTCTAGCTCTGCAACTATGTAATTAACTTTATTTCGATAAAAGCACCATTTACCATGATCATACTAGACACCAAATTTGCATACGACTCTAGAATCATCCAAGATCTTCTATCTTCCAGGAGTATCCAGATGTAGGTATGCACTCACAAAGTTGATGCGCTGTATTAATTATCTCTAAAAATGCCAGGTTAATATTGCTCTGAGTTCATTGGTCATATTGACTTTCAAAAGAACTAAAGGTGAATTCCATGAAAAACATATTTTCTTTGTTTTTTCTTATAACGTTTTAATGAGAATCGCAATGTTCGCCAATTTATTTGTAGGTTCGTGATGAAGACAATCTGTTAAGTACCAGTTTTTTTTAGTCATAAACTTCGATATTATTTTTGTAGGAAAAATATTAGACGCTTTTGCTCCTCTCTGCGCATAAGGTTTAATCGATCAATGTTTTGGAAAATTATATATTTCATTTCTATCAGCTCAATACATAGAACAAAGGACTAGTATAGTGCAAAAGGAAGTTATCTTGTATGTAGTATACATAATTAGATGCTTTTAAAAAAAAAGTTAAGCTCTTTTGGCGAAGCCCATTGTAAAATGTTTAGCTATATGGTATAACACTCGATCTCTCAGAAAAAGTATGATAAAAAGAAGAAAGTTCAATGTATTTGAAAATAGTGGGCGCTGATGTATTAACCCCAAGATTTTGTCACATATGCTACACTTAGAAGAAGAAACAAATTAGTTTTTTGAGGCAACACGTTGTTAGAGTCCACACTGTGGATTATACGAGTAAAAACTAAAGAGAATGACTGGTATATTATCTCTGCCAGGTTGAATTCTCAATTATATTTGCAATCCAATATTCCATGTAGAACACTCACTATTTAAAAAAATATGTACTCACGTAATTTTTTATGACTCTTTGTAGAGATTAGCATATTTTGATCCAACATCACATTTGTGTTTAAATGACAAAGAAAAACAACAAATTGAACACTACATAAGAAAACTTATAACAGATGATGTTTATCCATTAGAATCATCATCAAATGATAATTTGACGAGTTCATCAACATTATCAGCACAAATTCAAGTGAAACCATCTATTTTTGACGAATTTATGGCTGCCTGTGGTCAAGAAGAGATTATATTGACAAGTAACATGAAAGAAAAAAGCAAACGGATCAGCATAAATGAAGAATTAAAATACTTCAAACAAGTCGTCCAACAGTTTAATGCAGCAGTACAACCATCAACAAAATCTGCCAAAAACTTTTGGAAAGCACATAAAGATCGCCTACCATTATTAACACACTTGGCCAAAATACATCTATCAGCTTGCGCCACAAGTGTGCCAAGTGAAAGTGCTTTTTCACAATCTGCATTCATTGGTCGCAAAGAAAGAAATCGTATTACTGGCGAACATCTAGCATATTCTGTTTTCTTGAAAGACAAATTATAAATAATTTTAAAAGATGTAGATTGATAGGTATATATACTGCTTCCATGTATATTTTCTTATTATTAGTATGTCTGTGTGCAATTTTTTATAAAAAGAATTATTCATGTATTTAATTGTATATGTAACTGATACATCATTTTCTGTTAGTTTTTTATTTCAGTTATTTCTCAATTTTTAGGACAACAAATTGCTCATTTTTTGTAACTATGAATAGATCAAATGAAGAAATTCTATAATGATTATGTTCAATGGTATCATTACATTTTTTTTTCTCTGTAAATATTATCTACAATGTAAAAGCTCTACTTATTTATTGTAAATTTGTCGGTGGATATATTGTATTTGCTGAACTGAATAAAAATTAAGTATGAAAGTTTTGACTTTCGACAAACTTGGATACTGGTAAAAAAATTCTAGGAATGAACAAAAAAAGCCGCATATTGAACACTTGAAACTAAATTACGAGAATTCACCAGCTAAACCACAAGAGTTAAAATAAATTTTCTATTCTGATAACAATAATTTGGATGCGCAGAAAAAATCACTACCGAGTAATACTTTCAGATTAGTGGCGCCCAGTCGACAAATTCCATTATTTTATTGATTACATCCGAAGCAAACTTTATCATCCTTAAATCATTAAGAAGTCTACAAATTAGTCACAAAACATGAAATAATGACCGATTTTTGCGAGGATGCATGCCGGAGTTTTTGCCTTCGCCAGTACAAAAAAAGCAAGAACCAGATCTTATAATTGTCAGAACAAAGTTCTGCGGAAACAAGCTAGAAACCTATCATAATTACTCTATTCTGTCGTTAATGCAAAACCTTAAGACTCACAGCAACCACCCAGACCAATACAGTCTCCATTAGCAAGACTTTTATGCTCTCATCGACCGTATTATTAGCTTGGTCTTTGTACTAGGGTGCCACAAATATCTTGTATAAGGTAATAGTGTGCAATTAGAAATACAGTTTAAATAAAGATGATAGCGAACAATAATGCCGGTTGGAACAAGGAGAACCTACGATGATAGCCAGTTTCTATAGTTTGTCACGCGTTTTAGGCCCCACAACACACACTGCTGTCGATACACCAACTATCAATGTGGGCTTTTATCTTCAAACTGGCGATATCATTAACCTGATCACTGCATTCATGGGCGAAAGGATGTCTTCTGTACTTCCATACTTTCGAATCGAAAAACTGTTTTCAATCTTCAGAGTTGAAGAGAATATAGCCAGTTAGAACATCAAAGAGTTACTGAGATGACCGTATTCGGATACTATTTACGGGTCCGCATTCTTTTATCAACCACCGATGCTACTACAGCAATCATTACCACAGGTTTTCATGGTTCAACCAACATTTTTCTCAGCCTAACCATCTTAATTAGGTATGAAAGAAACGTTTCGTTTGTTATACCATCGTGTACTCAAGAAAACAGGTTCAACTATTGCCTTTAACATCAATATTGTTCATTTAGAACGATGAAAATCTACGGTGACGACCAGTTTCCGCTCTTACTCGAACAATATAATGCTCAATGAATCCAGCAATACTAATACACCAGTCTCCATTATGGCTTTGTATAATCTTATCCGTTTGATTCTCTGCCTTACTTCGAAGTTCTGATCAGTATTCCCAAAATTAATCAGGACGAGGATTACTTCTTATCAGAAAATTAAGCGCTCGAGCTTCTAAGATGTATCGTGTAGGAGAGACACCGAAATACAAAAAAATGACCGGTGCACCGGTCCCACCGCCCCACCGTACCACCGGTGCACCGTCCACCGGTCTCACCGGTCCACCGGTTCACCGTTCACCGGTTTCACCGGTCCACCGATTCACCGTACCGACCGGTGAACCGGTGGACGGTGAACCGTCACCGGTGCACCCCTAATGACGTTTGATTCAGATATTCACCAGACAAGAGTCAAAAATAGCTCATTCGGTCTCCAAGAATTCTCTGTGGGCCCTCATTATACACATTAAAATTTATTTTTAGTTGAAAGCTCATGCTTAAGATTAGCGATACTCGTGACTTTTTTTTTAATTCTTATTTTTGAATGGATGAAAAATGGCGGCAAGTTCAATGAGGGTGTGGGTGTGGGATGAATTCAAAACACGATCCGCACCCATACCTACACCGACACCCTATGAGAATTTCGAGAAAAATTTTTCTTGTAATCGAAATATGATCAATCAGGAAGATCGAAGTAAGGATGCCGGTCACAAATAGATGCTGGAAATTTATTATTAGCTGTGATATAGTAGTAGAAGGACTACTTTTCTGTTGTAGCATTAGAAGCTTTGTTGGAAGAAAATGACCTCGAATGTCGATCCTATACCACTAAATCATGGATAATTATGGACTTACAGCATATGGTTGCAATCAACATTCTTACTCCTATCTTCCTGATTGATCATAGTTCGATTACAAGAAAAAATGTTTTTTTCGAAATTTCCGTACACCCCCCCCCCCCCCCCCCAGGGATCTAGGAGGGTGGAAAATCTTTTTCTTTTTTCGAACAAATGGTCTATGCTATTCGATCCAGGGGGAGAATTGTAATTCGTGGGAAGTGAAAATTTTCATAAGTGAACGCCCTTGGAAAGCGCTCAAGGTCGTTTTTCTCAATGCTGTTCACCTAGCTTTTGACAGTATATGTCACTTGTTGCATCCATTCTACCCCTTTTTCTTCCTAATCTTTTTGCCATTTTGTAGAGAATTGAAAGTTACACAACATATAACAAATTCAGTCTGTGGTCTGATGTTTTCGATAAATGGCAGCAGATATACCTCCAAAAATCTAACGTCATAGCCTGGTAATCTGTTACCTTTTTTCATTCATATTAGCCCAGTAAATGAATCATATATAATATTTCATATAGCTCATTTTTTTCATCTATCTATATCCTATCATTTGGTATATAATATGAAAAAATTCTCTCATTTTTAGTAGTGTAATACTATTAGACATTAATGAGATGATTTATCATTGTTTTTCTTGATACTAGGTAGGCGGTGTTAAAAGTCGATCCAGACTAACTTCACTATAAAAAGTTCAAATGAGTTAAAAATTTAGGGTTATTAGTTTCAGACATTGCCGTTTCCAATGAACATAAAACATCAAAAATTTAAATTTTCACGAGTACTTCGGTTCCTTGGTGCTGTTATGGACCCTCTCTTAACATCGCCAACTATTGTAATCTTAATGCAACACATCAAATGAGAATGAAAATATTTAGAGAAATACTTCTCATGCTGTAGAAACCATGACAAAGACTTCTTGAGACTTACCAGAAAGTCGTTGTCTTAGTTGTAAGTAGATCAAATGTTTCTTCGTCTCGTGATCGAATTCAATGCGTTCAACACGGAAACAAACACCTGGTGTAACAAGTTCCTCTTCTTCATCAGGATATTCAGATAATCCTTGAAGATCAGCGGTAAAAGCAAACAATACTTCCATAATGAATAAAGCATTTCCGAATTGTTCTGCTTTTTGACGATTGCGGCTACACGATGTAAACGCTTGAAATGATCGATATTCGTCCGAATGCTTGACCATTTCTTTATAAGTAGTGATCTGGTCGTCGGTCAGTTGGGCTCCACGATAAAGCATAATTTTAGTTTTCATTTTTTTATTGTAAGGATCATCCCAAAGCAATAAACAAAAAGGTCCTAATGTACGGATTTTACTTCGCCAGACTTTTTCATCCTCTTTGCTGCCTACTAATCTCATGGCTGCGTTCAAGGTTTTGTACAGAAAACTTTCCAAAGAGTAAAGGTAAGCGCAGCATTTCCATACTTCTACCACCCCCTTATTCTTTTGTTCTCTAAGCATATTAGCCAATTCCTCGGCTTCATATCGTTTTTCAATAAGCTTGCCTTCTGCAATAATACCACGAGCAGCCTTCTCGACAAGCTTTGGGATTATATCTGGCCTTTTAGAAGGCAATTCATCTGGTTTAAGGCCCAAATCTCTTCTGACTTCAATTACAAATGGCGACACCCAACCATATTCACCGCCGAATGAACCTTTCGAAGCAGCAGGAAGATCCATAAAACGTTCTTCTCGTAGATGCTTGTCTTCTCGTTGGCGCACCACTCGTTTTACAGGTCGTTGCTTGTTATTATCAACGTAGGAAATTTGCAGATTATCCTTGAAATCGATGTGATAATTATCCAAAATTGCTCTTGGTTTATTGTTTGCGAATGCTCTTTCAATGATTAAATTTTCTATATCTGAATAATGACTCCATTTGGCTGGTTCATATGTTGACCATGGATCTAGATTTGACTGCCACATCCATTCAATATGTTTTAAAGAGTTGTTTGACGCTTCAGGCGCTGCACAGACCATAATAATAAATTATTTTCTCTATTTTCAATGTTGCAAATACGTTACCTATCACTTGTTTTATTATCTAAAAGTGTAGAAGAAAATGACAGTGAAATCAATGAAGAAACAACAGAGACTTTAAGATTGAAATTTAACAAAGTCTAGAAGTCTCCTGCAGTCTTCTGAAACCTTGAGGAGTCTTTTTAAGCTTCCTAAAAATCAGAAGAATCTTCACATCTTTTGAAGTCTTGAGCTTTTTTGTTTCTTTCTTGAATAAAACATGTTTAACCTAATGTTGTCTTTATGAGTCATTTAACAAACTTGCACTTCATTAGATGTTGAAATGCAAACATGCAATAATCATTGGCTCAAAAAGTTTAGAAAATTGTATAAAATCTGAGTAGTATCTATCAAAATCTGTCTTATGTTTATTCGTTTGTTTTTCTCCAGTTTAAGAATTTTCTTAAATTGGCCTGTCGATCTTCTCAGAAAAAATAAAATGAAACCACTCGATATATTTTTATTAGAACACAAAAGAAACGAGAAAGTTCCAATCAACTGTCTAGGGAATATTTATACCAGTTGCTTTTTTGTTTAGCTAAAGGCTTCTTCGTTTTTGTTTACATCTAATTTTGATAAAATAAATCCATAGAAAA